TCCTGACTGATCGTGCAGTTTTTCTCTGGAAGGTGCGAAAGTCAGTCCGTTTGGTGAGATGGGCTTCTGTCTTTTTTCTGGACAGAGGAACTGTTTCCCATTATCCATTCGTTGCGCACAGCCCAGTTGGTCCAACTTGGTTTTTAAAGCTGGCGCCAGTCATGTAAGGAAACCAATCGGGTCTTTGAATGATTAGGGCTGTGACCATCATTTGCATGCCACTTTCGTAGTTGTTTTGTGGTGCCAACAACGAGCTGATTAAGCGAGGCGAATTTTATGGGCCTGTCACAGTTTTCACATCGTTGGCTAAATTCAAACCTGCCAATTACATGGCACGTGTTGTCCTATCGTCCACCAACTTGGACATTACCTGCTACCACCATCAGGTTTCTCGTCTCGAGGGTTTGTTAACCACATGTTGCAGCCTTTTATGGTTAGGTGTGATGCAGACGGGAGGCTATCACGGTGAAGACCACGGAGGATCTCTCTGAAACTAGCCACTACATACCCTAGGGATAGTGCATTCCATGCTTTCGACACGGTTACTTTAGTTGTCACAACATCATGGCTACCTATTCCGCCTTGATAAAGCCAGTAAGAAGCATCTGATTGAGAGGCTGGATCCGTCGTGTAAAAGAATCAGGTAACTGGGTCTCTGAAAGATTGCTGTTAACTTATCGATGGTCTTGGAGACTACACGTACAGATACTTTGACTGGCAGTATGGCACGAGTATTTTAACGACTAATGAAGAGCTTCTTGCATTGCGAGCCCCAGGTTGCATTGTGGTCACCCCAACCGCTCGGCCAGCGCAAGGTATTGCTTTCCGGGTCACCATATCATAAACGAATTTGCGTACTATGGACATTACCGGGGAAGTTTCATGCGGATTTGTTACGGATATTTTCCCCTGGTCCACCCAGCTTTTGGTCGATGGTGCAACCTGATGTATAGCGGGGAACACAGAATCGTTGATGAGCAAAGCCAAAGTGGCTGTTGGATTCAAAGAGTAACCTCATCCACCCGAGTTGATCCATGCTTTTCATCCCTGTTTTTTTTTGGAATTCAACCAGACCCACCCCTATAAGGACAACCAGTGACCCGTCAATTGGATTATAGCGCCTGTCACCTGCTTTTGTCACTCTGTTTAGAACTCCACTATGAGAAGGCGTCGAACAGCAGGAGTCGCATGGTAGCAGCTCACTTAGCAGTGTTTCGGTGGGGTGCCAGGAGCGACATTACTCCTTTCCCAAAACACACCCTCTACCATACATTTTTAGGAAGTTCTAGAATGTGTGGAACTGAACTGAGTAAAATGCGACCCAAGTAGAACAAAAAGTTTATGAAAACTCCCAGACCGTGCCTACCGGATGAGCCTCAACAAGGGCGAAACTGGTCGTGGGCTGTCGACAAATCTTCAATCTTGTGATTAGTTTCATTCAAGACCAGCTACCCTTCGTTGGCTTTGAGAACGTAGAAGTCGAGTTGTTTCACCTGTGTATGGCACTAATTTACTCGTAAGGAAGATTTTCAGATGGGAGTATAAATTGAGGGACAAATAAGGGAACTTACATGCGCGATTTAATGACTTTGGTGTATCCATTCAGACTTGAGCACATTATTTTGTGGCACGATACATGTTATACTCGTAGTTGTGAATGCTGGTTACTCAACGTCTTGCAATAACAACTAGGTTTCTGTTTCGTTAGAAAACCAGACTAGTCGAAGGAAGCTAACATTCGAAACCATCAATTTGACCAAGACACGAGTCTTGAACACCATTAGAGTGGAAGATCACGTTGGAACTCAATGTAATGCCACTTTAGGTAGCAGATGGCAACGGGTGCCACTCTACTCATAACAGGTTGCTTGTTTTTCTATTTTGCCGGCGAATTTTCTTCAGTTCCGCTTAAACTGTATATAACTTGGGTTCATTATGTTTGTATTTATTGATATGCTGCTGGTACCACTCAGATGGTAGAGGAGAATTTTAGCATGATGACTCTGGGAAGTGCTATTTATTAAAGGTCCGATTCGTTCACGTGTAGAAAATATTTATTCACAAGCTTGTTGAAGTCTTTGGCAGTCCACGATATGTTTCGCCCTTTATGGGGCTCATCAGGGTCCCATCCCCTAATCCCCATCAATTTCATAGTCCACTTGAACACCAAATGGGAAGCAGAATATACTGATTTGTAAATTCTTTTGATGTTAACGGGAGGCACAGCTTAATCTCTCAAATGTGGTATTTCTAACTGAATGTACTGCCCAGAGGTTGTCTCATGTTTCAGTTGACACGATATTCTTAACACAGTTCACCGCTTACATGGTTGCTGAAAACTTCGACAGCCCACTACGTCCTTCACGGGCTCATCAGGCAGGCGTGGTTCACATAGACCATGAAGACGATCGAAGCTCGGAAATTACACGTTTTACAGCATGTATAAAGGAATGTCATTCACTAATGCAGAATGCTTTTTAAACCGCCTCGGTTTCACACAACATCCAACTCAACTTGGGTATCGCCCATGTGACTCAGTAGTGCGGGGATATTTTTAAGTGGTTGCTTCATTTCAAGTGTAGCTCACTAGTTTAAGACGATACAACTAAGTTACATACTGAAGTATTTGTCACTCAGCGTTCACTGACTAGTGGAATCTATGGCAATACCTAAATATGTTGGCCGCAGTTGAGCGTTGGATTTTCTCTAATGTTTTTCATCCGACGGCACCCACTTCATTTGGAAAATTGTTGAGACTACAAATTTCCATATCATAAGCTGGGCTGTTTCATCTTATAGGTTATCTTTGGACGTCCCATGCAGGGTAATCGTTCTAAATTTGATCCTATGGTGGCAGCCGGGGCTTGCGGAGCTTGTTCTCGTTTGGGATGGTTTATCGGTGTAGGTATCACCGTGTGTTCAAGATCGCCATCTGAAGGACAGCAAATTACAATTCCACCTACTGCCATTGTGGATTAAGAGAAAAAAGACGGGTGACATGAACTGATGAACTAACCGGAATTCACCACATATTGTCTGTCACGGATCTCTTGTAAATGGTGCTGAGCTGATTTCCTTACTCTACCGAGCAACCGAATCGGCCAGTCCACATTAACTTGTTCAGACATGTGGCTTGACTATCAACGTGTATCAGTAGTGCATATCGGCGGAATCAAATATCAGCTCGATCATTAAACTATACACGTCCCCACATTAGCACGATCGTGATAATGACCGTGGATTGCCGATAGAGGTGCATCGACTTCTGTGTTATGTTGAGTGGTCATTTCGTCTGCGTTAGAGTGGCCGGTTCGCGGGTACACCCCTGAATTTGCCCTTTGTAAAATATAACTTGATCTTAGGTGATCTCAGGATTCGTATTGTTTATGTAGACTAGCTTAATATTTCCGGTAGATGTCTGCAGAATTTCGCTTTTTTACAGTTTCGTTTTAGGGCGGTCGTCAGTCGCTCTTGAGCTATTTCATACCAAATTTTGGTGCTTTTCCTTATTTTCGGTAGCCAGAGATGTGTTTTATCATTAATTCAGAGTTCACAATTCATTCATCACAAAAAACATTTAGTGCATGAAATAGTTACTACCAATGGAACTCATTTCATCGTTGTGTGAGTGACTTGTTAAAAGACACTGTATATCGTTATCTAGCGACACTCGGACATCCGTGATCAAGCGGTTCGGCAGGAAATTTTGTGGGCAAGAGTGTTGTTCGACCCGTCAACATTGCAGTAGGTGGAACACGAAGTGGGTAAACTTCAGAAAAAGTGCCGCAACGCCACTGCGAGTGAGTTTTCTCAAACTGTTTAAGTTCAAAGTGTGGCGAGCAACTTTTTGATACTTTGGATCGGTTGATGTACCGTGTTACCGAGAAAATGACCTACGACCTGTGACGGGTACAGTGCGGTTGGGAAATGGATGGATCGAAATTCCCGACACAAGTGACTGTTTTGTGCGTAGGAAAATGGTTGACCAGGTCCAATACAATGTGGTTGACATTACCACAGACAACACTCTAAGGCGATTGAGACTGACGTCTCCTTGAGTGTTCTGGTTCCCCCGTTGTAAGACGTCCGGAGCGTGTTGCCAACTACAGGGACCATAGGAAATTATATCGCGCGAGAGGAGGTGGTTTTAACCAAACCGTTCGTTGTATTCCACCTTATTTGCGACTTTGTGGTTACTGACCTTAAAAACAGGATTCCTTGTACCAGTAAAATTGTTTGTGTCCGTCAGTATACCTTCTGCAAAGTAATTATTGCTGAAGTTCGTTTTCGCGCAGTTCATTCCCATATAAGGCAGAACATCTCAGTATGATTCTCGATTTTCGAACTGAGACCTCTTTCTAAGAGCGGATATCGGCAGTCAGTCGCATTTCTGCATTAGCCTCAACATACATAGGTAGGTAGACTCTTTCTACTCATGATTTCTGCCTACGCACGGATCCACTGCAGATGTCAACCAGCAAAATATGTCTTAACAAGTTCACTACGTTGTCATTCACCACCAACCGTGCCGATATAAGTATACCCTCATGATGTCTCGCTTCATCGATGGCTCTGCTTGACATTGTGTTTTGACTCAATACTCATTGATGGTTATTTGAAGTTGACTAACCATCATACTGGATTTAGACTCTGAACAGCGTTGTGCCACCTCTCCAGTTGAACACTTGATTTCTAAGAAGTAGGTCATCGCTTCACCGAATACTCACATTTGCACACGAATTTCATTTTGACGGTAGACTCAACTAAAAGCAACCGAATCTCTCGTTTGTAACTGTTTTGCACAAGACTTATAAACCTTTGCGTCTTCCAGCCCACTTCTTTTCAGTTGCCACATCATTTGTTCTCATTTCTCGTTGTAGCAATACCATTTACCATATCATCCTGACCGTTGCTAACCCAGTGAAGTGATTGTTCTCTTCAAATCGTAACTGAAGCGTCAACAACCTGATTCGTCCCAGCTTCTTCGGTTTTTGTCCCCAGGATGTACCGTCCTTCTTCAGCATGTCGCCATGGTCTTACTCTACAAAAGAATAACGGCCAGCGAAACAAAATAAATGATGGATATCTACGTGGTGACAAATGTATGGCCAGTTGACGCTTGGAATCCCTCACACAAATGCAGCTTCATTATTTTCGGATGCGCTGGAGAAAAAGATATATGCTGCTGTTGCTTCTACTGTCAATTACCTTTTTTTACTTCCTCAGTAGAATTGATCGATTCACCTGTGTCACCGGATCACATCTCGATTGTAATTCAACACCATTTTTGCTCCCAGTCAAGTCTGGCCTTTGTGTGCCACCCCTAAATCTTCACTTTTCTCCTGTCAGCCATCGTTTAGCTGTGATTATACCGTTTAGGGAACGTTTTACGGAGTTGCATAATCTGTTACCGCATCTAGCGGAGTTTCTAAGCAGTCAAGGCGTATCACATTCGTTCTATGTAGTTAATCAGGTTGATACCTTCAGGTAAGTTTTACTGTTGTTTAACGCTTCCCATGAATAGTATTCGCCTTTAGGTGTCTTGTTTACAGAGTTGTGACCTTTACCTCAAGTCATACCGTATCACTGCTAGGTGCTATCTAAAGCAGATGGCTTCATAGCGATCTATTATTTTTGAATCTTGAACTTATGTCGATCGTTTTCGAATCGAGTAATTCTTACCGTTTGTTGGCCGTCTTTTTGAACGTACCTAACCCTGATGTTGCCGCTCATACGAGTAGAATGAAATGGAATAGTTATCTGACGTTGCTAATACAAACGCACAAGTATCGAAGTATTATTATTGTACTCAATGTGTTATGCAAGCAGTGCTAAAGTCGTGGTCCCTTTTCCTTGAAAACAATTGTCTGTAGTCCGTAACTACATTTTCAAAGCTATTGTTGATTCTACAGTGTAACCACTATCTTATAGATGTTTAGCGGCGATGAATTTGGGACAGTACAACTCTGCTGTGGTAAGCCTCCTCAGTACTGCTTCCCTATTAATTTCTCAAGTGATTCGGGGTTTTATCGATGTATCTAGCTCCGAAGATACAATCGAGTTGATAGATCGCATTTGTTCTGGCGAGTAAAACAGCGGGATCCTTTTTGGATGGGATTGGAATTCACGTAGTTTGTTGAAGGAGGACTTTGAGACTATAAGCAGCCAAATTGGATCTCACTGGTTCAATTGTGTCAACGGGCAATTGGTTAGATCTATGGTGAGGAGATCCGGACAGGAAAGGTATCGGACGCAGTGGCACAGGAGATTCATGCGTTTTTGGACATCCGTACGCGCGTGCCCTAGTTAGACCTGCTGGTTTCAAACAGTTGAGTGTGTTGGTCTATGAAACTATATTTAATTCTTTAGGATGACTACTGGTTATGCGCCCCTTTTTCTGTATCGCATCAATCTGCTCGTTATCAAACAAGAACTCGGTGGTATCTGATAAGATGTGCATCATCTCTCTGTAATCTGTCAGTTTGGTAGAACTGTGTCAGATCCTTTATCCGGTGGCGAGATAACGAGTTGGTCATTGTTCCGAAGTTGTTGCTGTTGTCGGACTTACTGTTCTACTGAGTAAACAGGACTGCCTGATTGATGCCCATTCATACTGATGAATCAGGTCGACCAATCAGTGGATGTGGTCCCCAGTGGTTTGATCTACTTTTACAAATATTCGCACCTCGTCCGAATGTTTATTCGTTGAGCAGTGCGCTGTGGTATGCGGAATTTTATTCCAACGGATAGAGATTCCTGTAGTTTATTCATGGCCATGTTGGACAGGTTGATAGCAAATTTGGTGCGAAATTTAGTGCACTTTCTTTCCAGGAAATGTATTTCTCGTTTTTCTCGTCTGTTTGACTTTTGTTTTTTCACGCAACTGATTTACTGCATTTTTAGAATTTGATTCGAAAATAGAGGCTCAATAATTTGACGACGAGGTAAATTAATGCATAACCAGTAGGTTTGTGACAACATCACCATTCGTCTCAGGTTTTGTGCAGTCGGTTTGAGCTCATAACGACGTAAAATTCCGAGTAGCGCTCGGTAGGAACAAATTTCCTCTGCGAGTCTACCTCTTAGGCGGATAACATCATTGATCTTGGGTGTACGTGATTTGGGAAAACTCGAACAAAGGTAGAAATCCGTCCCCAGTAATGAGGTTGTACAAGGTCTTTCCAAATCACGTCGACCTAAGGTCAAATTGCATGTGTTACATTCCTAAGTGAATGCATTTCTATCGAGCGTTATGCCGGGTGATTCTACAGAAATTTGCATACATCGACTGTGTTCATCATCATCATCATCATCATCATGGACAGCATGACACCATGACGTAAAACCACGACTTATTTGAAAGCCTTACTATGAAGAAAACAATGAACTTGAACACAGTAACGACTAAGTACTATCTTACCATAATCATTCCGAAACGCTTCACTGCGAGACACTGGATGGAAACTGACAACACGAACGCTATTGACATCGATTAGCAGCCATATCTTGCAGCGTCACCAACCAGGCACACTGAATCATGCAGCCCACTTCCTGGTGGTCGAGTAGCACTGACAGCACCCAAACGTTTCGTTATCTCTTTCATACCCCTCTGCCAGCTCAAGGATTGGCCACCTCCGTTTTTGCCACTCTTAGTGTGGCATGAAAAACAGCAATATTTTCGCCATACGCAACACATGTCCCAACCAACGCAGCTTCTGGTGCTGGACACATTCTTCAATGGAAGTACCCGTTGCACAACCGAAAACGCACTTTCTAACTGCCTCGTTACGGATTCGCAGACACCAACCCATACGAGCTATGGTTCTGAGACAACGATTGTCGAACACCTGAAGACGTCTCAGTTCCGCTGCTCGAACGAGTAAAGTCTCACAGCCATACAGAAATACAACCCACACTAGTTTGATGCACGTCCCTTCACATTCAGGAATAAACCATTCTGACGCCATAGGTGTCTCAAGTTAGCGAACGCGGCCCGAGCCTTGCAGATTCGTGCATTCACCTCATCTGTCACACTACAATCAGAACTAATAAAACTTCCAAGATACATAAAACGCTCCACAACTTCCAGTGCCTCTCCCTGAGTTGTGTTCAGTGACTGCTTGTCCACGAGCATGATCTTACACTTTGCGGGTGCAAAGTGCATACCAAAGGACGTGATGACTGGTCGGTTCATCAAAAAACACCTGCGCCTTCTCCTCTTCGAAGGCAAGGACCACATGTTCTGCGTACTCCAGATGGACAAGGTTTTCTTCACAGGATATTTGAACACCCGGGTTTTTGAAGATCTTCCATCGTTTGTCTCTTGATTTCACATCCAAACGTCCGAGAATACAAAGAGCTTATTATGTTCACAAACTTCCGGTGCATTCCTTGGTGGGCAAGGGCGTCAAGAGGAACAGACCGATCAACGGCGTCGAATGCGCTTTCGAAATTCAGGAATACTAGAATTTTGGGTCGCTTGTACGTATGGCGTTGTTCTAGCACCTGAAGGAGTGTGAAGATATAGTCAACATAATCCCTACCAGACCGGAATTCCTCTCGCTGCTCTCGGGTCAGTATCTCAAAAGCCACCGTGAGGCGACGAAGCACAAGTGGTGCCACCAGAATCCTTACAACTTGTGGTTACCACACTCACTACGAGCTCATTTTTTGAAAATGGGCACCATCACCGACTCATCCCACCCTCCAAGTTGTCTTGGACGGTCTTCTCTTTCCAACTGCAAGCGAACAAGTCAGACAAGCTCTGATTGAGGACTTCAACGCCGTCTTTGAAAAATGTGGATGGGAGGTCATCCGGACCGTAAGGTTGGGGGCGCTTGAGGGAACATATGCAGGCATAAACCTACGAGTCCGTCCACGTTACCGTCCAGGGTTCTACGTCATCTGTGCGCTCCAGATGAGTGGCAGCTTATGGCCGCGATAACTGTTGTCCCAAGCATTCGCCCCACCGGTCGAGGCGTTCTTCTTTATTCAAGATGGTTACTTCCTTCTGGTTCTTGATCGTTTGGCTCACAGGAGGTTTCCGGGAGCCCGTCGCACGGATCAACTGCAATAACCTTCGGACATTACCGGCTTTCTGGGCCTCTTCCATTTCCTTGGCTTTCTGTGTCCACCAGACTTCACGGTCAGTTCGCACGCTCGCTTTCACTTGAGGTCCGATAATTCGTCGCGTCAAGTTATGTCCGGCATCGGCTGGGATATTTCTCCGAGATTTAAGCAGTGCCACTCTTCGGTCTGATATCCAGTGCTTGAGTGAGCCTAGTAGCGCCGTGTCACAAGCGAAATTCACAGCACAATGCCAAGAGGTGGCAGTCTCGTACCAGTATGAATTAACATATAATGGAGCATTTGGAAGAGACTCTGGCGGACGACTATGATCAGTTCAGCCAACATCCGAATCTGCCAGTCTTTCAGTTGCCAGGTGATTTTTTCGCACCTTACGCGGCCTTGGAAAACGAAGGTGGAAGTGACTCCAGACTAGTGCGTGGTCAGAATCCACATATGTGCTCTAAACTGACCGGCTGTCTGTTATTGATCGGCGCCATCCTTAACTGATGGCACTGTGATCGAGTTGAGCTCGCCACCGGCACGTTTAGAGGCAGTCCTCTTAACAAAGTTCGTGGCTGGCCTATCGTTGGAGCAAACCACGCGTGCAGACGACTCCGACTATTTCGGAAGTTGGTGCTGCATAGAAACAACCTGTGGTCAGCACACAACGGAAGCAGATTATTCACCATTGTCCGTACTTACCGAGTCCAATCCATGTCGAAATCCTAACTGAGTATCAGATACGCTTAACCTACCCACTGGCGAATTCAAATCTCCGGCAACTACTTCTACATCCGAGTTTTTAGCTCGCCGCAGCGGGGCGTTTAGGGCGTCATAAAACCTGTACCTAACGGCGTCGGAGCTACAGTCAGTTGGGGCTTAGGCAAACACGATAAACAGACAGCGATCCACTTCCAGCTTGTGAGACTCCTTCACAAGCTGGAAGGCGAATGTAAAATATTCAGATTCGATGATAGTTGTGGGTACATTCGTGTAAAATGGTTTTGGTGCTCGTTTGACTTGTGCAATCCCCCTTACGGTCACTGTGATAATTAGCTTTCCCATCGGTAAGTTGTCTTTCCGTTTGTCGATATAGTTGTTCCTTCATACTTCTGGTTTCTATTTGATGAGGTACTCAGTTGTATATTAAGGTGGTTCACCATCGGTCAAAATATTTTTCTGGACATTTGGGTGATCCCATTGGTGACCAAAATATTCACTGAGAACGGATAGACCACTCGACACTGGTACGTACATACCGGTTGTTAGCGCGATCGTCTAGTGATTTAAAGGGGGCATTGTCAACCCCCAATCGAATCTCTATGCGAAGCAACTATCGTGATTTTACCATTCAGACAACACACACTTCTGTACTGCAATCCTTTGGACACCAACTTGTGTCCTTCCTATGCTGCAGTCAATCATTCTAAACCTGGTTATTGTGTCGTTTTTCGCATTGTCACTCAGCTTCACTTTTCAACAATGCGTAGGCATATGGACTGACGGGATCAGATTCCACAGACGTGCACCAACAACACGCTATCATGTCTCACTGATCCTCACTGGGAATATGTTTGTCCCTCATTTTGAAAATACATACAACCTCTTAAGGTAGGTAAACCTAACTTGGCGGATGGTCCATCCGTGCGACCTTTACATTCAAACATCCAACTCATATTTTACGTGACAGCACACACGAAAAGAACGGATGCTTTGTGGCGATTAGTGCGATTGCGCAGCAGCCTGGGTCGGACAGAATAATCGAAGCACATAATGGACCAGGTTCTACACTCACTATGGACCACACTTCAGAAGTCCACGGTGGAAATCACACCAGGCCTTCCGTCAATTAAGACTGAAAAATGCTCCAAATGTCGTTCGAAAATGCAACTCATCTGCACGTGCGCACCAAAGTTTGAGCGACTTCCGTGCATTATAAGATGCATCAGACAACATACATGAGTGCCTGAGGTCTGGAAGGCATACCCAATTTGCGACCAGCCACGTCACCAGAAGAATTGGTCTGTTTATTGGATATCTTGTGGCAGACATTTCTAGGTTCTTGAAAATCACTTCCGCTGATGGTATGACATTTTTGGATTTAATCATAACGATACTGTTGTAAGAGCAAACAGGAGATTACGGTACCATCTCGCACCGAAAGACCCAAAACAATAATATGAATATGCCAATAGGTTAAGCAAGCGTACTTGGATGTTTTTTCTTCCTAGATACTAATGGCTCGTCAGTCCATTGTTTACTACCGTTTCTGTCACATCGGTTACTGTTGTGGTCGATAGACGTGAAGGTTTGTTCGATCGTGTGACCCATAAAATCCAGAGAGACACGCAACAATGTCGAGCAATGTGACAGTATCTAAAAGGTTTCTTGCCATATCGACGTTACATGGAAAAGTTCGATTTGTCTGGCAGGACTGACTAGACTGTCACCTGAACAGATGCGTTAATCCAGAACCGTAGTGACGGAAAAGGCACCCAGCAAGAACACAACAGCTTTACTGTGAACAAGCGAGTGCAAAATTGCACTCGTTTTGTGGTGTTTAAAGTGCACCTTCAACCTTGAATAGGGGCTGTCCAGTCGATGTTGAGTGATTAGTTGGCATCGCTTCTAGGTCACGTCTGAGCACCCGAACATCGTCATTCGTCGCTGATTGGCTGCTTGAACGTCCAACCAGTAGCTGGCTTCTCTGGCCCGTAGAATCGGCGACCTTCCTGATTTTCATGGAACTTTGGATACCAGTAAGTTCCAGATGATCTGTTGAGTTATTCCCAGGAATCCAACGTCCCTGACACCAACATATGACTCCCGCGAGTTCAGTTTCAAGGATTCCATCTGATTTCTGATTTGGTCGGTCCGGCGTCTCGGTTGCAGCTTACAGGACTTATGGCACGAAATCTCCACTAAAAATCACAAAATTTCCTCACAGCACCAACAATCTATAGGTAGCTCGTGGGAAGAATACGTTTCCATCTGATAGGTCGTCACTCGAGGAGCCAGTCGACACTTGTGACCACTTGATGTTATTTCTGTGATTGAAGGGTGAGTGGCGAGCTGATCACATTGAGGACGAGCCGTTTGTATCCGAACGGCTAAGTATTCAAATTATTAGCCGGGAGATCTTGAGTTCGAAACTCCCTTGAGTTTCTTGAGATTCACACTGTTGATGATTCACGGCCGTGCAGTGCTTCTCGGTTTTTCAGCGTTTATTGGCTTCGTTTACAGGACGAACTCTCAATTGGAAAATCCAAAATTCCTTACACTACCAACTGTTACCACACTTGCATGTCATGAGTGCCATTCACCGGGTGGTTGGTTTCTATAGCACCTACTGTCTTGTGCGTTATTGGTTTCACTACGCTGCATGGCTGAACTATTGCAAGCCACTGGCAATATAATATACTGTTGTTCAGGCTTCGACAGTGGTATCATGATACGAGTGCACGATCGCTTCCCATATTATTCCGCCACACGATTACCAGACTTCCCAACAGGATTGTTATCCTCCGTGCCATTATCCCCTCTCAAATACAGCCTTGACTTTTTCATGGTACTAATAGGCGGACTAACATACTTTATATTGTCTTAGATTTCTCAGTAATACTGCAATGCGTCTGCTTTATTCAGGTTGATTTCTGTACTTCCAGTAAAGCCATTAACACAAATGAGCCTCTACCACTCTACCAGACGAAGATAAAGTTGATGCTCAATCTCTGAACTCTGATTCCCATGTGTGGTGGATTAGACAGTGTACATGAAACATAACTTAGTATCTCAAGCATGCGGTTGTTGTCAGATGCCACTAGGATTACTTGATGCGGGGAAATCATACGGTGTTCTATGCCGGTCTAGGCTGCGGAGTATCTGTCAATGAATAGCTGCTTTAGACCTCCATACCCACCCAACGGTACTATTCGACTCCGTTTGTCTGGATTCCAGGATAGCTCTCATCACACACTGTCAAGTAAGAAGTACGAGATTGGTAACCCGATAGTGTTAGTCGGTGTGTGTGCATTTCTCATTCATCAAATTTTTCATTACTAAGCAATAGTCAGAGTGCGTCGTTTTTTTGCTTGATAAACGAATTTTTATTAATACAACGTGCATGGCTAGCAGTTCCCAATTTCCCACTGACACTTGAAGCATGACCGTATGATCATTCGCTGATGAGCATTAGAAGGCGTATTTATTCCGGGTGATGATTTACGAAGACTGATCTATTACGTGTCAACGGAAGTAGAGCAAAACTTTTGTCTCTGTAATTAGTATGGTAAGATTGATCGAAATCCGCCCACACTCCATCACCAGATTTTCCTGTCTGAGACTTATAAGATAGGCGTAGTCCCCGGATTTTTCTGTAGGTATGGTATAAGCCCTACGGTAGTTCCTCATAGACTACATTGTGCTGAACATTTGTTGTGGCATACAGTAAGTTTTCTGTTCTTTCATATCCCCGCGCAAACCCTGGAATTCACGCCCTTGTATTATCACCTAGTCGCTAGTGACTGTTGAGAAACGCCCCTTAGGTTACACAATTTTCTGTCTATTCTTTCTCAGTGTTACTTCTTTACCTGATGTTCGTCGCCTATTCCTGATGCAAACTCTGGTTTTACCATCTTCAGATTCAACAGAGCCGCTTTACTGAACGTTGGTGTGCAGGAGTCTCTGGAAGCCGAATCAAAAGGTGTTCTTTTGAAGCTGTATACCACAGATGGAATACATAAACAAGTTGGCTTCGAGCGCTATTTGTTTCCCCAGACTGACTACCTCGTGTTACATGACGTTGATCTTCTTCCCCTTGATCCGGCCTTGTCGTACTCATGGCCACCTGAAACGGGTCCTGTACATCTTATTCCGGCCACTATTCATCCTCGATACTATTGGGTGAAGAATTATTTTGGTGGAGTCGTCGTAATTCGTCGTGAGCACTTTAATCAAGTTAATGGATTTTCTAATTCATTTTGGGGCTGGGGCTGGGAAGACGATGAATTCCGTTTACGAGTTCTTCGTTCGGGTCTCTCAGTAAGTACACTCATGACTGTGTCATAGCACGCTTGAGAAAGTGGCAAAAACTGGTTCAGTTGGTACTTGACTCGTCAAGGTTTACATTTTATGCGGTCATATGTAAAAGTGGGACGAGATGGCTCTACTAAATTAAATAGCATACTGGAACTGAAGCGGACACGTTAAAGGAGCTACGAGGGGGCGCCCTTCCAAATGATACAATTTCATTTTGCCTGGACTCTCGTGGGGTGGTCTTTTGGGGATATTCACTTTCGAGGAAATATCAAAGCTAGCGAAAATGAATAGGAACGCTGTGAACTCCAGACACGTGACCCCGTGATGTGAATTCCGTGAATGAAGGATGAGTGGCTGTTTATCCTCTATGAGTGAGAGTTAGTTGGATTGTAAGTCAGCCGCTTGCGGCCAAACGGCTTAACCTTCGACTACTAGCTAGGACGTCGCTAGTTCAGTTCTTCCCGTATATTCGTTAGATGAGCACTGTTGATGACGGTCATTATGTGTGGAAATACTGTACAGTGCTCCTTGGCACAAGTGGGCTTCGCTTACAGAAAGAAATCTTGATTGCGATTTACTGGTGACTTAATTAGTTGATTGTACTAATCAATTCATTGCGTGCATTCAGTGTCCCTCACGAATTCTAACAAAACACCGAATGCATGCCAGCGTCCAAAGATGAATTTATTTACTGTGCGTACTCTTAGTTCGTCACTTGCATGCATTAACCTTCAAGGTCAGTCATTCATGCAATGTTGAAAAATCACTACTCTTGCTGATTTATCACCAGAGACCTATCGACAAGATCCCGGGCTACATAAGAGGAATAGAATTACGGCAAGTTTCAGTTTTACCTCACCTCCCTAAACCATCGGCGAATGAAACTGTGACATCTGTAACCTCCTAACGGAAAGTGTGCGGTTTTTACAGTTGGAGAATGAAAAAGATGATGATGGTGATGGTGGCAATTATGATGAAAAATGACTTGAGACAAAATGGGTCAAAGTGGCTGTTGCGTATCCGAGAAAACTTGAGCATCAACGTACTTGTTGACTAGAGTCAACATTAATTGGAAATTTACTGTATCTCGCAGTGCACTTCGTTGGTTGTGTACGTCCCCTAGTTTTTATTAAAGAAACCTACCATGTATTTCATCAACAACAAGCTGCCTATGTCGTGTCCAGGATGGAGTGAGATCTTTACAGTTCACCCTCTAGTTCATTTCGGGTCAAGCGAAGAAGTCACTTCTATTGAGTGTTTCTGAGTTTTCTGCGTTAACATACGTTGTGCGCTTTTAGGTGTAATTTTAACACAGCTAAATCAAGCATCCGAAAAACTAACGCACGACATATTGGACCAGTCGCTCAACAGGGGGTCGGTAAAATTGTGTCAAAGTACGAAGTACGATTGTACTTCATGTATTTTAAACGTTTTAATTCGTTACAGCCTTAATCGAAGTCCCTTTGATTGGAATAGCGCGCGGCAACATCTGGAACTCTGATTACCAAATGAACAACGCTTATTCTGCCACAGTCCTGAACACTATTGGTATATATATTATCTGAGTGGACAGAACTGAGACGCCATTCACCAGTGGTGATACGAAAGTACTCGAAACCTGCCTTCTCACAAAAAACAGTTGCCTTAGATCGGATCGTGTTGAGTGTGGTGCTTTTAAAAATCTGGGATCTTTGAGGGATCTTAGCTTTTTTGTTTCCAGTCTAGAATTTTGAATGAATCCTTTTACCGCATTTTCTTTCACCAACCTATCGCAGACGACCTTCACCCTTCAGCTATACAGCAGACTCTTTACTCTTACTTTACTCCAGATCAATACACCCTCAAACGTAACCTACGGCTTCAAAGCTTTTCGTATCATACACAACGATATCAGACACAGTCGTGATGTGAAGACATACTCAAATCCAGAAGTGGTTAGTTGATCGTTGTACACTAATCCTTGTATGATGTCTATATTAGAAAGCCCTCTTTTTGTGTTTCATTGCTTGCCAGCGCCCAGTGACTTTTGCACGACGTAATTATTTTGTTGATATGCTCAACTGAACCCCAAAAGACTCAAGCAGTGTTGTGATCACATGTGTTCCATGTGTTTGGCTCGACCTAGCAAAAAGATAAAGCGAGTTGACAGCATTTCTGACCCACTTTTATCTCTATATTGAGCACATGAGCTCATGGTGAAAACAATCCACTTGTGTGAAATAGGCCTACTCCAAGTCGCTTGGTAGTGTTTGAATAATGCGTGTGCCTGGCCGCGTCATGCCAGTACTTTTAGACCTTTCCGAAACCCGTCTGCGCGATTCTTTTTAGCTGTGACTTGGTACCCGAATAGCGGCAAGCGTAAAATTTTCGTCACATTGGCGTTGTACCTGTTTCCTGCTCTGCACCTGAAAACCTCAACTTTCAGAACCGTTCTGTGTAGTATTGTTTAGGATATGCGTCCAAACACATTCGGCCACTTTGTATTAATCTGACAGTATCCGCATCTCTGGTATTCATTTTTGACTCACCTTAAGCGAGTCATTACTTTTAGTTCTGTCCTCTTGTGGACGTCCATGCGTAAATTAACTGACTGTCGAATTAAAGGATTTTTCCTTCATATGATGCTGATCGTTTGTGGAGTCAAATATTTATCTGCAAATTAGAACTGTGTTAACGAAATCTTGTTTGTCAGATTCTCTAACCAGATGTACTGCAGGAAGGCCATCCAATGCTTTAAGCAGAACGATATTTAAGATACCGGAGCATTTTTTATATTATACTATTTACAAAATTATCGAGAACTTTTCAACAGCTCATTACGAAATAAAGTTGGTAAGAACTTGGGGACTAACCGTCCAGCATCCAAGAAAGGCGTGAAGTGGCCTTTTCTAGGAGTTTCGGTCAGTTTTATAAACGGTTTGATGTCAGAGAAGTTGCGTGTACCAGGACCTTCGAAAACCAAGACAAAGCCTATGGCTTACGATTGGTGTGATTTCCTGGGATTGAATTAAAGGCTTAACTAAACTTCCTATACAGAGGATTGGTCCTAAACCCTACGTGTATTGTTATGGAGTATTACATGTGTCCCGGATTGTGGGTCTGATGGTTCTGGGTCCAGTCGACGTTGAAAACACTACAAAGTATTGCTAAACCGAATCGCTTAATTGCTCGGGTTTGCGGCCTTGATTCACTTGTAACGATCTAGGTACTCAGATGAATAATAAAAATTAGCCGTAACACCCTTTCAGTGTTCGTGCAGCTTGAAAAATTCACGAAAGATTCAGTACTATTACATTGTGCAAACTTAATTGGGGCTGATCGAAAAGTTGGGGTTGGGTTTTCAATACACCTTCCGACCAATAGTTTCGCGCCTCAACTACCGATCCATCTGGATATCAGGTACTTAGCTGATCAAGTCATGAGAAGTGAGGTGTTCTTGTCCCTCCAAAATAAAATGCAGATCGTGCAGTTCTTTTGAAAATAAGTCACAAGGTACCGCTCAACTAAACTAAATCTGTTGAAGGTAACCACTGTAAGGGTTAAACTGTTGTCAGAAAATAATAAAACCGCAGAACTTTTCCTCCTATATTTTCTGCAGATACGGACGCACCAGGTCTCAGCTCATCTTTCCAGGTTATCCATGAGTTAACCAGTACAATCGGGTCTTTTCATCTTGTTTGACTAGGTAAATATTGAAAAGATGGTTGGGATAGTTTGACAACATTACGCATTTTGAATGAGAACAATACGTTCATCTTATAAACCGTAGGCGCACCCTTGGGTTGGAAAGGTGGATTATTCTGCCTTCGAATGCCACTTAAGAGCGAATGGTACCGCACTGGTGTGGTCTACTGTATAAACGTTTATAGCAGGCATGTTCTGCCTCATCCTGCTGTAGTATGAGATAATAATTCTACTTTCAGACCTATGCTCAGTGGTTAGAGCGGGAATTTACTGACCGCATGGTCCGTGTTTCAGACCCGACCTATGCCTCTTGACTTTTCCTGTCTAGGCTTGGCAGCATCTCAGCCCTCGTGCTTCCTTCTGGAAGCATGGAACTTAGGCACCGAGAGGGTGCTACAGCTGAACGATGCTCTGTTGAGTTCCTTCTTCATCACGAATTCAGCCTGATTATTCTAATAATCCAAACCAGAGCACTGTCTATTCAGTTTAGAAAACCATCTGTGCACTCCGTCAGTCCCATCGTTGATTTACGCTGACACCTGGGATATGACAAATATGTTAAGTCTTTATATCAGAGGTAGTATGTTTAACCCTATACCATACATAATGTGATGAAAAATCTGAGGACGACCAATTAAACAGCTCAAAGCAAGTTTAAGCAGCGAATCCCAAGGAACGACTAACTGGTTTCAACGCCACGCCTTGCAGAATAGAGGGCTCAAAGGCTCTTTACTCTGGACAACCTGATCAATCAGCGTAGAAGTAGAGGCTTTTCTTTAATTTATCGGTTTCAACTCTGCTAACTGCACCTGCTATTATGTCTGCTTTTAAACATCTAAATTCAGTGTCAGTTTTTTCGATATACCCAGAAAAATCACTACTAAAAGCAAGGCATCTTTCCAACGTAGTAGTAGCGTTTAATACCCACACACTTTGTCACATAGGCTACCAGACTTCACTTAGATACTTTTCCCTCGAAATTGATGTGTTCTGTGCCTCCGAAGCACTCATACTACGATGATACCTCTGAACACAGTCCAGCGCGGCTCCACTCACTAACGGTTTAATCGCCGCGTATCGGGGGATTCATATTCGATGCCCTGTGGTCTCAGTGGTATTATGTCGAATATGAGATCTGAGGAGGCTTGGTCTGGCAGAATCCCTGCGAACTTCGTGCTGCAACGGTATGAAATCGGCGTTTGACTCTATGCGTCACAGAACATAACCGCAGCCCAGTTCGACCGGTCCATGTCTCTGACTGAGAACGATGCAGCAGGATCTCTGAAACGGCGTTTGAGCCGAAATCTGAAGACTGATCGATAGGAGAGATGGCTAAGAGAAATCCAAACAGTAGAAATTACCACGGTCGATCTCCTCCCGAACTATCCTTAATGCTGGGCCAAGAAAGCCATCGGTCAGAGAAGGATGACTGAATATTTTGTCCCGGGTGCTGCTTTGATAAGCGGAACAGTTCGGAGAACGGTTTAACTGGTCTCTTGTGCCTAGGCATAACTGGCAGCACCTCACCAGCTTCACAGTCGAACGTGAATCGCTCAGTTTTAGCAGAATACGAAGACAATGAAATCAAACTTTTAATGAGGAACAAAGTACGCGGTCTTGTTTGCCTTCCCCTGTCTTGTTTGAGGGTGCAGGTGAAGGACTGTTTCACAAAATGAAAATCTTATGTGAAGCATTTGGTAGCTCAGTGAACTACCAAACAACTGCTAGGTATCCACTGTCCTTATCTTTTAAAAAAGTTCTAGATTTGTGTGTGAGAATCGTATAAGTATCAGTCTAAAAACCATCTCCTCTAAGTTTTCAACAGGTATCCTCCTAGGCCGGTAGTCAGTGCTCACCAGCATTAGTCGTGAAAACCATGTACGATTCCATTTAGGTGATGAATGCATTCCGAACGCCGCCACACATAGCGGGGCGATATTTTTTTCTAGACAAAAACCAACCCCCATCTCAGTTGATCGTACTGCGTTGTGACGATGTCAGCCATTCAAATGTGTTCCGAACATCTTCATCACACGTCTCAAATACCTGCATCCCAACAACACGGGGCACCTGAGAGTTCATAGAATATTTTCCTGAGCTCGTCACTGACGTTAATGTTCATCATCAGGGTTGTTCCTTATCAGTCGAATTAATTAATAAAAAAACTCGCTATGTCTTCTACTTCTGGAGTGAGCTTCTCCCCGGAAAGATCTCAAAGACCTTGAGTATGCGGGTGACATTAAGTTATCTGGTTCAAATTCCGTTCATATAAAATGTAAGCCATATAATCAGTGTTGTCATGTAATTTGGTGTATGCTTTCCCCCTACAAAGTTCAAAGTGCTGTTATGAGACTCGGTGAGTGCACTACCGAAGCATCAGAACCACTAGAGTTAGTGGGCATGTTGCTCACCTGAGTGGTTGCATCATATTAAATAACCAATACTGACGAAGTAAACGCCAAGAACTTCAAGGTTCGTTTACCTCCCTTCCACCTTAGACACCTTGGGTTGACGTGACGTTACCCGTTAGTGAACGACGGTGTCTCACCGTACCCTTTTCTCCGAATCACGTCTGAACTAAAGCGTGCTACAATGATAAAAACCTATGACTTGAATGCGGGGTCTTATCTGAACTGAACTGAATTGAACTTGAGGTTCCGTAGCATTGATGTCGTGGACGGATGGTTTTTTGTTACATTTATTGTGACTATGCTTGGTTCTACAGTAGGCATATCACCTAACATATCGATTTCACCATGGCTACTGATACCTGCTAGCCGATCAGGACAGTAGTCTTTGGTATGTTCATTGAGTGTCGCGTACGCAACCGACTGATTTCGCACGCCATTGACCAACACAGCTCACTGTAACCCACAAGCATGACAACACTCGAGTCGCTATGTTGAACCCAGAAGCCATGGGACTGAAAAACCGCGCAACAATGCTAACAAAGGCCATCATCAAGCCGTTTCATGAGAACAACTGGGACAATAGTGTCCTCCATCGGTAGATTTCTATCGGATGAGTATGAGTTGTTAAAAGTTTGATCATAACACCCACTCGCCCTTACCAACCATTTCCGTGGCAATTCGCATCTTCATGATGCGCACACATGACCTGATCTTTGAGAGACACTTGGACCCTAATTTGGAGGAAGCGTACCAAAACCACCCACCGAAGTCACTTTCGGAGAAGATATCTTCCGATGCTGACTCTTACTGGGAAGTACTATCTGCAACCCCGCAAGATGGTGGGCGCTCCGCTTGTGGAGCAGCGCAACCAACTGGATCTCAAAGAACACTAGGATTGTTCAGCGCTCGGCCACATATTCCTCCTGATCAGCAGTACAATGCCACTCAACGAACTGTCAGACTTGAGGTTAGAAAGTGCATTAGCATGAATCAAGAAGTTTGATGGATCAAAAAAGCTTACTTATCTCTAAAGAGAGAATAGCCCTGAATTGTTAGGTTGAACACTTTCAAGATCAATCCAGTTGGCCACCTGCAGTTGCTCAAACGGATTCTCAACGGCAACGTAGCCATGGACAGTGAACTTGGAGCATTCAACGGCTTTGAGGGTTTTCAAGAGTTCTCATGCTGATTTATTTCCTGTCGATAAGAGCGTTGCTTTCTTCCCCCAACTCAGACTGGCAGAAACCTAGACATGAACAGAATTCGACATTGAAGAAGGGAATAAAGAGTGTTGCGAAAAGTTTGGGTCTTGTTGCTGTTCACCTTTCAAGATGGTGACCTGAGACGCTGAACTACATGGCGGTTAATTGATTTCAGTGGAGCTCACGCTGTCGGCTTCTATCCAGGATGTTTGTTGTGGGCTGGCCCTGGGTCCTTCTGCCTGCCATATTTTTTCCTTTCCTTTATTCAGATGAACACCAGTGTTCCCTAGTGTTTTGGTCAGTTATGATGATTATTGTTCACTCGTTTAGATCGAGTCTTATTTTTCCATTTATCGTCGGGTGTGCTTCTCTGAAGTACATTGTTAAAAAATCTACAACGATTCTCTAAGAAAACATTCTTAAAATTCTGGTGGGTTACCTTCCATTTCTGTTGACCACAATTTCAATTTTGTTCTCTGCTGCAGAAGCAACTCCTCCGTGAACTTCGGGGTGGCCTCGACACGACTAACTATACTGTTGTCGCACGTCGACTCATGCATATTGATGGTGTCCCAGCGCTTCTCATCGATGTTTCGTTACGATGTAACACTAACATCTTAATTTGTAGTGTGTAGCACACAAGTGGTATGTTGGATTCCGCATCAGTGAATCCACTGTATTCAGCGTTTATCTGATGCCCACCTGTTTCATTCCCTTATTCTCCGGAGTTTTTACTGCATGTACTGATTTCGTTAAACGATGGACCACTATCTTTCAAGAATTTCTATCAATCTCTTGATATTCTTGTGAAATATTGTTCTATCTTTCCATATTACGTAACATTAACGCTGGACCAGCGCGACCTTCGATTCCATAATTGAGTTTCTTTGGTCTGGTATGAAATATTTGCAGTTTGGTGGGTTTCTTTTCCAGCCCATACTCTCAAACTCTGTGTACGCCCTGTGAAACAGTTGATTATGAGTTAGTCCTCCAGGATATTGCCTATTGATTGTAGGAAACCAACCCATGGAAACGCTTCTAAATGGAACACGTAGGTCAGTAATGTTCAGCAAGATTCGTTTTTACCCGTTGGTTTGGATGATTCCAATGTTAAAATGAAGGTAACCTACAGTCAGTCATTTGCGTCTAGTTATCAGGAAGATGTTTTCATTCAATTCGTTTGCCATCGAGATACCAACTCTTGGTGACTATCCTGAAGCCACAATTATTAATGTGGTACAACACTGCCTTTTTCCAAAAGGTTCCGTACTTTACGGTTAAGGCGACTGTGATACAAATCAATCTCCAGTATCATTTTCGATCCAAGTGTTCCTCATTCATTGTTCCAGTCGGGACGGAGCCCATGCAGTGCACCTGGATGCAGCAACTTTCCCACCTACTAACGGACTACTAGTAGCATGTTAAAAATCAGCGCAGCGGGGGATTTCGCGAAACCGTGGCAGATGGGACCTGACGAAGCAAGTCGTTTAAGCTTGAACTTTCATACAGTAAAACGCAGACTCCTAAGTCCTCCAGAATCATAGGAATACAAATCTTGTTTTCTCAGCCAATTTATGAATCTCTGCATTAGGTGAATCAATTCAGACTGGCCACGTGGACCAAGATTACTACTCGCTTCCCGGTATTCACTTTTGTTACACTACTTGGCAGCCCATCTAATTTTATGGAAACAACCTGCCATTAGGCAGGTTGATAAGCCAACTAGCTATATGTGAATGAGTGCCGGCATCCTTTACGATATGCGGTTGTATACTGGAAGTATAGCGTTCATAGTATAGAAGCACGGTATTGTATGTATGTGTACATATATGTATATGTGCTGCGTAGGAATACACTGTGCTCCATGCAATCTACCTTCAGTCACTTCGTGGTGCTTCGTCCGAGGCTGTATCTGGTCTTCATTTCGTCTTAAGAAGCCAGACCATAGATGTACCCTTATCATCTGCATGCGATTAGTTCAACAAAGTAATTAAATGATTAATGATGCATGCTAAAAGTACTATTCAGCGAGTACGGCGATTTTCGATCAAGTACAAGCAATCCATTGTGAGGATATTACTCTCAATCTATGAAAGTGATACGCAAAACCTACACTGGGTGCACTTCGCATTTCATGGAACTCATGCGTACACAAACTGAGTGGTCCGTTTAATTCCCAGAACAATCAGTACGTCCAGTAAACTGGATAGATACTAGAACCACTTGAGGAATTTGCATGGATTTCACATGTTGTTGTCGTTGTTCTTTTGTGCCCTTCGTCTGGACAGTTGAGAAGTGAATGTTATGAAAGCCCAGAGGTATTTTCAAATACAGAAGTACCTAACGCACCGTATAATGAGAGCAGAAAATTACCTACCAGGACTATGATTACCATAGGGGTCGTCACGGCACACATACGTATCGCCATTTGACTGGTGCAAATGCTCTTACTCAGCCATGCAACGACCCTCCTTAAGACAACATCTTGGTTTTATTCGGTGACCCAGGATATACTTCACTCATCTCAGAATTAAGGCCCCCTTTCTTCGTATTTTGCTACTTGAGTAAAAAGTTTGTTCGTTTCGGGAGAAAGATCAATGAACTGTAGGAAACTGATTAGAGATGAACACAATTATTTGAAAAACAAAAGTTGTATAAAAGCCGAAAAATCTAGCGTTGAAATTTGTGGAATTCAGTGAGTCACAGCACGAGCGACAAATTCGGTGCCAACAAGACCGTCAAGCCAATCGGGAATTAAGAGTTGAAGCTAGTTAAGGGCATGAAATTTGACGCTAATGGTGGTCCATGTCCCATGGAAACGTTTTGTCGATACCTTGTCAGCCTGGTCAATAACGACCCCTCTTCACGATTTTTAGTTTTCGAGCCTCAAAGTTCGCTTATATCTGCAGAGCAGTTTGGGTTTTTGGGATGTTGAGTCTATTTACGACTACCTGGCACGACACATAGATCCTAGCTATCTGTTTTGTATTTCAGTCTGGGTTGAGTCATGCACACGGGCATATCAAATAACACCGCTTGCACTCCGCAAAGCTGTAGCTGAATAATTAGTTGAGTAAATAGCTGCACAAGAAGCAGTAGTCAGAAGAAAACGGCATGTCAACAGACCGTCGTTGTAAAAACGTTTTCATTTCAAACCCTCTACTTTTGCTTTATGGTCTGAGACAAGTGTGTGTCATCCTGTCAAAATATCGTTTGTTAATGAGTTCAGAATCTGCTCTGAAGCGAGGAATTGAGATCCGTCTCCGTTTGGTGCATGGAAGTTGTTCGTTTAATTTGGCATTCTGCAACATATACCAGAAAGCGTCACGTCAACGGTTTAGAGGCGAAGCGTGGATAGTCATAAGTTGTTGGTGGTGTGAGATTTGGGAATTTAGGTGTAGATTTCACCCTGTAAATGCGTTGAAAAGCAGAGAAGCACTCGGATTTTCAATATAGATTGGTTTCGCCTACAGAGTGAAATACCACAACTTAAAATTTCCATGCCCAAGGTATTGGGGTTACTGAGTACGAGTCGCATACTCGCAGTGAGGAAACATGTGAGCATACGGAAATTTTCGGAAAACCAACGGTTGTGAAAGTTTAAGTATGGTTTCCCATCGTATATTCATTTGCGCAATGGATGGTTTCATACAAGTATTTCGCAATAAAAAATGAATCGCACGGACTCTACTGCGGCATGGTTTGATCGCAAATTTTTGCTTACTATTGAAAAAGCGGAGTGCATATTCTTAACAAATTTCCCCATTTGCCTCGTAAAGCTCTAAACACTCACCAGAATGTTTGAAACAGCTAGTTCCAAGCGGCCATTTAGCGGTTAGCATTTCCCGTGAGCATCCTTTAACCTAAACTTTACTACAAAGACTATTTGGAGTTACTTGCTCCAGCATAATGCATATTTATTCACTCATTTGTTTCGTACTTGAGGTCAGCTATTAGGTAATGAACGTGCGCCATATTCTGCCATCGAACATGTATGTACTGGTCGTAACCACAGATGTCCCACCACTTTCTACAATCGTACAGTCTGATGCGGTTATGAAACCTGGTGCTTGCGAACCAAACTGATTCCAATAAAATAGCAACCTAATCACAACGATCGAATTTCTTTGCAAAATTAACCGGATTTGTGTCATTGCACAACAAGATTCTGCTTCCCACTTCGCTAAACACAAAATCTCGATCAGTATTCAAGCGCTTTTTCGCACATTTTTGCCAGAACAAAGGTTCGATTTTCAGGAAATACACGACTTCAGAATCAAAACTTGTAACATGTAAACTTAAGACTCCGTCCAGGTCATTCCAAATCCTAATCCAGCGTTATTCGACCACATACAAACTACCTCTATCCTTTTTTCACTATCTCCCGTGCCCAAACGAATGCACTCACCTGCCTCGTTTTATAACTGGAGATGTGCGTTTCACTAAGCTTCTTTTGACTCCGACGAAGTTAGACATTCAAGAAAAACCAGGTGATTAGTTAGTTTCGTTTGGATGAGGTTCACGATAAGGGAATCGATCGACCAGTGGTTGAGTCCGCGACAATTGTATGCGGCACTGATTCTTCGGGCTGGCAGGTAACTCTGCTGTAGAAATGAAGCGACGGACCAAGACGGCCCTTACCCAATATCTGTAGCCTCGAAAACTGTCCTTCCTACTGCATTAGTCCCAAACTCGTGCCTCATCATAATCCCTTTGCCTACGTGGGCATGGATTTAATACACTGGACAAAAACGAAATTCCGTACTCCATTTATCTGACTTCCACATTCTGTACACTCATCTCATCTCTCCTCTAATTTTCAGTACGAAACCCCGATAAACTCATGATGGTTGAGAAATTCATATATGTGACACCGTAATACAGTTCTCCCTTAGATTTGGCGCCAGCTGGTTTTCGTGAAGTTTGAGAAGTAGAAATTGTACTGCAGAAATTTTATGATGATGCTTCTATGTCGTTCCGAGTCCTCAGTGAGTCTTAACTGCTAACTGTCAGTCCAGACAGCCTTGGTTCTGTAGCGCAACTATGCACTGCAAATGTGATAAACCTGGTGCACTTTTCACCTTGCGGCAAATAAAAGAGTGGAGCCAACATGACAAGAATAGCTAAAAAAACTGAAGGGTACCTCATCGGTATTCCCATCTCTCGCGCTTAACCGATCACTGCAGACTGTAAATCAACTTTTAACTCTGTCTGCCCTGGTCACCACGATATCCCACTCTTTCTTCCTTGCTTTCCACCTTTGATGTGCACTTGCAAATCAGTGCCAGCAGCTGTGCTTTCCTATTGGAAGAAGGACGAACGGCTGTGAGTGGGCTGCCTGCCTGTCCGCTATACATCGCAGGTGGTCGATGAAGTGGAATGGAAAACCCGAGGTGCGTGGGTTAGAATTAGGCACACTATTTTAATTGAATGGAGCGGGTACAGGGACAGTGCCGATCTTGGAAGATGGGGAGAAGCACCTGCGCAGATCGTATGACCTTTAATCTTGGATATACATCACACATGAAATCACAATAGATGTCCCAAACGGAAAACCAGAGAGTTGGAGTAACGAGATCCGTCCACCAAATCAGCGTTGGAAAGCCTAATTCTAAAGGTGGAAAGTTATCTTCGGAATCTGAAATTACGCATACCTTCAGACCTGTGATCTTACAGCTGTCTTGTAGCAGCCAAGAGGAAGCGGGCAGTCCAAAACAAACTGAAGGAAACCTAAAAGACTTCATAGTCAGACGTCGATCGCTGGAGGTAAACGTTGGATACGATACCATCTGCCGTACCCACCCAGCAGACCAAGTATATTCTGATTGGCCAGGTCGTCATTTGGCGCGCGACAGCTTAATTGTTAGACGCGATGGCGGATCAATAACTGCCTTCGCTCTACCCCCTCCAACAAAGACCGTTGCGACAACGATTGGTGGAGCTAGCCACGATGCTGTTGGTTGGCCAGGTAGCACGCTCTCTATGCGTGACTCACCGGAGCGCGTCCACACGCCATCATTGAATGAGGCGGTCACATCCAGATGGAACGACCCCAGTCGGCGCTTTAGCGCGTGCATCGGCACGCAGGCCGTTCATACTAGTGGAATTGCTCCCCCGTCAGGGTTTACCACGAGAGTACCGATCGCGGTTGATTCCGTATTCTTTACCCCTCACTCGGGTTCTGTGTCAGCTGTCCCATTTGCCGTAGTTGATACTGCAGTCTGTCCGCCTTGTATCAACCAGGTACATACCGCGACGTCTAACCATCCTGCTCAGTCTACATCTTGTTCTAGGTGCGTTTTTTATCGCACGAACAGCATCTCAAGTGCTCGTCCACCACTACCCCCAGTCGAGTCAGAAGTTGCGATCGGCCAAACTGCCGTGCGTATTTCGGCGTCCAAAGGATGTGGCTTCGTGGTGAGTACTTCAAATGCTCGTGAGCTTCGACTCGTTGCGTCTAACGTTGCAGATAGAAGGCAAGCATATATTTTACATTCATCAGGTTCGTGTGAGAGCCTTCAAAGTCATACAATTAAACTTGATGTGCGGCCAAGTAGACGGACAGCTAGTGGTATTACTCGTTCATCGAGAACGGGTTCCTCGCTAGATCGTAGTGGATCATTTATTTTTGTTGGTCAGCAGAGCGATACTATCATGCCAAATTCGCCATCCTCCGGAGGACTAGGTTCTGCAAAAGCCAGTTGCTCTGCCACAAGTCATGGTACTCACCACCAAACCAGAATAACTCCGCCTCCAGACTGTTCGATATCTGGCCGTCGGTCCTCGCCTGGTTGTAGCCACAATAACGTATTTGGAATTTCACCAGTAATTGTGCCTTCCAGTGGAAAACCGTCTCCCAACCCTACGCTAACTAGTTTGAAAGCACTACATCCGCCGAAGAAACAGGTAAAACAAGAACAATACTTCCGTGTTCAGTTGCCTTGCACTCGTGCCGCCTCGAGGTCCAAAGACTTTGTAGTGACTGACAGCCTCAAACTTTATGAAAACCAAATCTCCAACCACTGTGAGGCAGCTCAACGCCCGCAGTCTTGGTGCATTGATCTTGGACCAGCAGTCGATGAACTACCATTGGCAGGTGATTCACACTCAGTTTCTCCAACTTCTACCGTCTCATCGCTTTCCTCGTCCTCTTCATCAGACGCATCCCAGGATTACCGAGAAGTCGCACGAAGAGGGCGTGCGTATCAAGGTGAGATTGATTCTCATCAGTTAATCTGTAATGTGTGTAATGTGTAATTTGAAGTGTCTTTTACATCTTAAATTGTCAGTCAACAAGTCCGCGTTATCATGAAGAGCAGTCACTTTTTGTACCCATGGGGATCGAACCTGGGAATCCAAATACATGCGCATAAGCTTATCAATCCGTAGACGAGTGACTTTTGGGCACCACTGTGCAGGCATAACTGATTTGCTGGCGGACAAAATTGTCCAGCCTTTTAGTCATGCTAATCAACCAGTATCTGATCGTGTGCATTAGGTGGTTGCTGAGACCGCATGCGCATGTCGACTGCACACACTGATTAAATCTGATCATATGCTTCGTTTGACTGCTTCAGTAGAGGTCCGCCTTGGTCCTGTTCCTTCGGATGCGTAACACCTCTGGAACATACGGTAGAACGCTTCAATCCTGTTTGTTGTTTCCTATCCCGTGCCATCTAATCACATTTTCCCAGGTATTATCTTTGGAAGCACCAGACGGGATTTTGCAGAGTAAAATTACAGTCACTGTACTATTGAGCGCATTCCGCATTAAATGATTCACCGCACAGTGTTGCGAACCAGATTCATATAGCTGGAAACCGTGGCTCACTTTGCCCTTGAATCCGTGGGCATTGAGTACTCTAATTAAATACCTACGGTCTCAAACGTTGCTTTTCCTGTCTCAACCTTGATCGATGATGCGTGCATGATCGGCTATTCTGGTATTTTCAGACATGTAGAACTTTTGTCATCAATACTACTCGCAAAATCGACTGTTTCAGCAGCGTCTGTTGTAATTGGCTACCTATGGCGATCGACTATGATGACCGACTTTCTCAGAACAATCCGAAAAATGCAAGCGGCGATTGACTATATCCGCCAACAAATCGCCTCTATACTGTAAACTCAAGTATATTGGCTTCTTTCCAATGGTCATGATAGGCGGTTGGATAGGTCGGCTGGACATATTCTTGGTTATAAACGGACGTTTCCACCTGGAACTCGATAGTCTAGGTTTACAACCAACCCTTTGCTCAACTTAAACCTCAAAGACAAGATGCCAGTCCTCACCCAGAATATGGTTGTGTATTCTTTCGCCTGCTGTTGTTCAGCGGAGCATGTTGGGCACACGACACGGTAACTTTCTAAGAGAATACACGAGCGCCTCTCGTATTGGAATACCATTAACCTCAACAGTTCAGCCAGAATCTCTATTGCGTCCCACCTAATTGACACCGGGCACGTAGTCATGCCAAATGAGTCACTTAATGTCATTTACCGTGTGCCAAATAGACTGCCAGTATCTATTCAACGGCGTTGCTTGACTACAGCCGAGGCAGTCGCTATACGCTTGCGAAACCAAGTACTGTACTGTCAAAAACGTTTCGTACGAACGCTGAGTCTGCCTTGGCCGTGTGACACGAATCAACCGGCCAAGTCACTCGACGGTCCTTTTGACTGTCTCACAGCATCCAACTAGATTCTACAGAAAACCAATCGTTCGTGTCTCCACGTTTTGCATTTCACTAACCAATCCTCGCTCCTATTTTACCTATTAGATATGTACTGACCTGATGACGAGATCCCGAAAATATTTATGTTCGTCACTGTGTTCCCTTTCTCTTCTACCCTACTCCACATCAAAGTGAACACTCTCCTCAGGTCCCAGTCCTTGGACCAGCCACTTTGTTCACACTGTATCACGATCAGTTGCAGCTTCTTTGTGACTTCACTAACAACCCTGATACTCTCGAAGTCTGTTTTCAAATCCGAATGACTGGTCTGCTTATCTGCCTCCAGTATACTTACTCTTGTGCAAGCGGGTCAGCAATGGGGTTTTCCTCGTACGTTGGATTCCCTTTGCTATATGTTTTCCGTCATAGACAACAATGTACGATGCAAGCACTGTAATTGAACTAACTACCCTCTCGCTCTCTTACCGCATTCGGCTGCTCGCCTTTGGTAACGCAAAGACCGCCGCAACTGGATATGCGAGGGTAGGTATTGTGTTGAACCATTGAGCGGAAGCGTCTCTACTGGGTAATCGCCCTCATACCGTTCGTTTGGCAGCATCTGTGAAATAACATCGAGGAGAAATTCCACCGCTCACTGTTTATTGTATTGATTTACTCCCCTTACGGAATTTTACTCTCAATCCGCCAAAGACAGCTTATGTGGCGCTCTAGGTGCCGGAAGCTCAGACATGACACTGCAGTGATGACAATAAAATTGTCACAGCATTGCCTGTGAAGACTTTCACAGTTATTCTGTAATTTACTGCACTTTACAACCTTATATGTACCACCGTATGCGTTGATCTTGCTTAGTTCAGAAACAGCAGTTCTCAGCTTCTAGAGGCTTCTACTAACACTAAAATTGTTTCCATGTGTGTTCTGAATTTGCGCAGAGTAGCACTCTTTGCTAATTTTTGCTAATTTTAGGCGCTCAACAGTCTCATATCACGCTAAATGATTCGAAGTAGTTTCTGCTTATAATTATCATGCTACTTAGATATCGAGTAGTATGGAATGTCCTGCCATATAGGTCTCAGCCTATCTAAGACTGTGGATTACCATACTGTGAGTGCTTCCTTCATCTAGGAAATCATCAGGTCGTACATTTGTTCTCACTGCCTCCAGCTTTCCCCTCGCCTCGGGTGTTCCACTGGCCGGTTAATCTGGGATCGGTAAGTCATATATCTTTTCATTTCGCTTCAGTTTTTCCACAATGAATCTGAAATCATCAGTCGTACATTTGTTCTCACTGCCTCCAGCTTTCCCCTCGCCTCGGGTGTTCCACTGGCCGGTTAATCTGGGATCGGTAAGTTCTATATCTTTTCATTTCGCTTCAGTTTTTCCACAATGAATCTGTATAAAAAATCGAGCCACTGCAATCTCTTATCACTGACAAGGGACTTTCTTAAAACTGTCTCCGATGCAAATGCCTCCCAAGATGTGATGGGTAATATTTCGGTGCAATATAATATATAATATATAATATAATATATAATATATATAATATAATAATATATATAATATAATATATATATATATAACTGAATGGACTTATTGCATTCCGCTTTATGTAACCTGGATATTCATACGGATATATCTTTTGTGCGACAATGCGCAGATGAAGGGATTTTATCTAACCAATTGCGGTCGTTGGAAAATAGCCGCATGTTTAGCAAGTTTCTGGAAAGCACTTATATCTATTTCAGCTCAGGGTGGCACAACTTATCTAAAGCACTAATATTGTAACAACACATGCTACTTCTGTGGCCTGACATAGGACACAGTTTTTATAGGCGCTTTCTCACGTCTATGAGTCGCATAATTTACTGTTTAAAAGTTTGTTACTGTTTAGTTTGTGGTTGCTGATAAACCCCCTTGCGGAGAAAGTCTTTCCCCTTCAAAATAATACGAAAGGACAAGTTGATTTTACACACTACTGTACAACCTATCATCTCTTTCTGAAAATACCTTTTCCACACAGTTAGTTTCTGCTCAGGAAAAAGTGCATCACATTTTGCAATTTTCAAATCACATAAATCCCCATTTTGAAAAACTAATTTATGATGCTTTTCGAACATGCAAACATCTTCGTCATCAAGTGTTCGTTAGTTTCTAAATTTACAGCCAT